TTTCTCAGCTACAAAATAGGGATGATTCATGCTGTCTTCCTCAGAGCCTGTTGTGAGGCTGGAGAGTTAATACATGTGAAACGCTTAGATCTGCGACTGCTCTCTTTTTTTTTTTTTTTTGAGATAGAGTCTCGCTCTGTTGCCCAGGCTGGAGTGAGTGAAGTGGCATGATCTCCGCTCACTGCAAGCTCCGCCCCCTGGGCTCAAGCCATTCTCCTGCCTCAGCCTCCGGAGTGGCGGGACTACAGGTGCCCACCACCATGCCTGGCTATTTTTTTTGTATTTTTAGTAGAGACGGGGTTTCACAGTGTTCGCCAGGATGGTCTCGATCTCCTGACCTCGTGATCCACCCGCCTTGGCTTCCCAAAGTGCTGGGATTACAGGTGTGAGCCAACGTGCCCAGCCTGACTGCTCTTATGCGGGAACTCTAGACTTCTAAAGGGATTTCTGTTTGACCTCCTGGAAAAGCATGTGTGTGGTGTGGGTGAGGGATGGGGGTGGCCGGGTAAGGACTAGTCCGTCCAGCTGTGTGGGCCCTGAACCTTCCAGCCGTGCAGGTGCTTCTAAGGGCAGGCAGGACACTCTCTGAGAGGCCCATAGACCTGCCTAAACCCCAGCAAAGGCTGAGGCTTTGTGGAAGGTTGCCTTATGGAGAGTTAAAGCATTGCTGGGGGTTGAGGCATACCTGAAGGCCAGGAAGGGACATGGCCTTCGAAGGAAGACTCAGTCTGGTTTGACACTCAGCCATGACCTGGCCATCTGAGTCAAGACCACTGGTCATTCTACAAGAGGCCTTTTAAAGAACTGTTAAATTAAATGAGATTGTTAGATTAAATGAGAAATGGGTGTCAATGTTCTTTGTAATAAAAGTGAACTTCAGGACAATAATGATGAAGAAGAATCCATAGCATCTCTGCTAGGGTTGGGGAGGGAGATGTCTGAGCCTTTGGGTGCTTGGGTGTTGCAGAATTGCTCTTGGACACAAACAAACTGCATTGGGCCCTTCCAGTCAGTGACTGAGGTGGGGGCAAGCCTTGAGCTTGGGGAGGTCCTCAGCTGCCAGTCTCACCCTGGGTCCTCCAACCCCAGGATGGGCCAGTGGTGGGCATGGGGATGTGGACCAGATGTCCTTAGCACAGGGCCAGGAAGCTACCACGCTGGCCTCAAGGAGACCAGGCAGACAGGTGTACGGGCAGGGGTGCAGCAGGGCCAGCTGCCTCCCAGGACCTGAGAGGCATCTAGCTTCCTGTCCCAGGCACCTGGCCCTCAGTTCTAGGAAGGTGGAGGAGGGGGTACTCTTCGAAATCAGAGTTCCAGAAGCCGCAGGTTCCCCCTGTCTGAAGGAGAAACTGTTCCATGGTGTCTGCCACAGCTGCACAGCTACCACCGACTTTCTCAGCAGATTCCACTGCAGTGCAAGGAGGTGAGGGGAGTGGCCAACGCTGATCGACCTGCAAGTGTGAGATCCACTCGACCTTATTCCCCAGGGGTGCACCCACCAGGGGCACCAGGTTCCCAGAGGGACATCAGCAGCTGTCACGGCAGAAGGGGGAACTGGGTCCCAGAATTACCCACCTCCAGCTGTCCCCACCGCGAGGACCCAGCAGTCCGAGAACTTCGACGGCTGGCGCCCCCACCACTGGCTGGAAGATGACAGAGGGCCCAAGTCTAATATTCAAGACAGCCAGACCACGCTTATTGTTTAGAAGGAAGCTCCCTTTGTTCTTACTTTTTAACCAAAGAGAAGCGAAAACATTTTTTTTCCTGATCGCGTTTTCACCGACACCTGAGCCGACAAGCCAGATCCTGGCCCCGGGCGCAGGACTCCTTGCTCTCTCCCTTCTCCGGGCCCTGTGGCTGTTGAAAGGCCCGCTGCAGGCTGGGGAGGGCGACTGGGGCCATGGGCCGTCTCCCCCGAGCCAGGCGGGCAGACTGCGGAGGCAGGCCCCACAGGCGCCTCTTTCCTGAGCCCGGTTTTCTTGAGGAGCAAAGCTGTTCCAGCTGACCAGCGCGTCTGGGGGCCTAGACCCGGCTTCCGATTCCATTTAAAACGACCCGCGCACCTTATCTCCGTCGCCTCCCCGGGGTTCCCACCCACCCCCATCCCCACCCCCACCCCGGCCCAGGCCAGGCTAGCCCAGCCCCGGCGGAAGCCAAGCTGGGAGCTTTTGAAGTCCCGAGAATTTCAATCCGAGAGGAGCCGGCTGGATCGGAGCCCGTCGCCCGGGCGGGGAAGGGACTGGGGGCCTGCCGTGTGGCAGGTGGGGGATGGGTGTCCCCCGCCGCGGGAAATGAGAAGGCGCCGGGCCTGGAGCGGCCTCCACCTCAGCTGCTATCACCCCCTCTCCGCTGTTACGGGATTGCCCAGGCTTAATGGGGTTGTGCAAGGCTTCACTTGCTCTCGGAATTTACCTTCCTTCTCGAGCCGTGCCGGGAATAACCTTCACGATACAATGATAATGACGTTATTAAATACTTCCCCCACATTCACCACCCAAAAAACCAAAACAGTGCTCTTATCCAGTCCTCTTTTTTTGTCTTCTTTCCTTTAAAAACCCAACCACTCTTAATGTGACGTTGATGAAAGGATGCTTTTGGAAGAAGTGACATTTGGTTAAAACGTTTTCCCCCTAATACGCCGGCGGAAAGGGGCGGGAGTGGGGGTGGTTCCCTAGGCTCCTAAGACTGGCGAAACAGTCCGCTTTGAAAGGGCGGGGCAGAAGTCGAGAGAGGGCTGGGGAAGGCTTTGGGCTGAGGGTATGTGTCCCTGAAGCTTCAGATCTGGAGCCCAAGGGAGGCAACCTTCCTCTGAAAAGCCTGTCCTCAGCTCCATCCAGCCCTCTCCCCGGGATATAAAAGCCCTGCTCTGTTGGGCCCGACCCAGGAACCAGACTAAGTAGTGCTCCTTGATCTCTCCTACTCGGCTTTCATCTCACCCAGAGGAAAAGAGGATCAAACAGAGGATTCTCATTGAATGCAGAGCTGGGGGTGGAGTGGGGAGCCAGGAGTCCCTCTGAGGACCCAGCCCCCAGGAGATGGGGGCAGCAGGCTACCCGTGAGAAAGCAAAGTGCTCAAGGAGGAAAGGAGGGTGGGCACCACCACCAAGGCCCAGTGCTGGAGGACCCTATAGAGAGTAGGCAACCTTGGCAGCTCTAAGACAGATGCCCAGGGGGCTTGCCATTGACAGCAAAGAGAGCAAGCCAGGTGCTCCCTCAGGCTGTGGCTGCTGGTAGGGAGGACAGAGCATGATAGAATCCCTGGACAGCTCTCCAAGGCAGCAAAAGGTTCCAGGATTTGACTCCCCCACTCTCAATTGCTCCTCTCACATCTAAAACATTTCCCTGGATTTTGGAGCTAGCAGTGCTCAGCACACAGTGGCTTCAGGAGTCCCAAACAGTGGAGATATCTATGTGGATACCACCTTCTGGATCCCGCTGCCTCTGCCCCCAGGCAAGATTAATGAGCATCTTCTTAGACTGAAGGAGAAGTGGAAAGCCAGAGTGGAGAGAAAACTGTCTTTCTTTGGACTCCTTACTTCCTCTACCTTCCTTAACCCTATGGATAGGAAGATGGAGGAGAGAAGCAAAGGGAGAAGAATACAGAAGGAGAAACAGGAGGAGAGAAAAGTAGGAGATAACAGACAAAAAGGTCATGGAAGAGGACTTACCTGTAAAAGCTGGGGCTTTGCTAGGGACATGGAAAGAAGGGAGGTGCTGGACTGCCCTTTGCAGCTGGCTGCCTAGGGCTGGAAGCTCTTGGGGAGGAGGTGGAGAAAGGGAGATTGAGCATAGAAGGTGCCCACCTCCTGCCCTCAGCAATGTGGGGATAGACTCAGCCCACCCACCTGGCCCCAGCACACTTGCTTGGAGCTCAAAAAGTGTCAATTTGTAGGAGTTCTATTCAAGCTTCTTCCCTGGAAGAGGAGCCAAGAGAGGCCTATGGCCGCCCCCAAATATCAAGTTCCACAAACCCTGCCCCCACCTCCTGCCCTTCATCAGAGCCCCTACTTACTTGCTGTTTTAGGGCATTTTCAGCGACTTCACTCTCTTCTACCTCAAACGCCATCCACTTTTGGAGACAGGGACCACTGTCCCTGGGCAGGGACTTGGGAGAGGACTTTATGAGTCAAACTTCTATGAACCCCAACCTTTTTGTGCTCCGGGAGGCTGAACCCCTGCCCAAAATACTGCTACTGCCTTCTCCCAGCTAGGGGCCTCCAGTACTGCCACAGCAGAGGCCGCATTTCCTGGGGCCTCTCCATTTGGAAAACCTCTTTCCAGGAGAATTCGTTGATTCTGAACGAATACCTTAAAGTATGGGCTAGGAAAAAAAAAAGACAACTCTTAGAACCTCTCCCCACCGAACATACCTGGAGTGCAGGTGAGGCACAGGCAAACGAGAAAGCAACTTCTTCTAGGAATAGCCGTCTCAAGATGAAGCCAGGCTGTGGAAAACTTAAGGCCATCTAGATGGGAAGGAGGTATTTAAAAGAAATCAGCACACACTCTTACAGCAGCCAAGGCGGGTCTTTAAATTTAAAAAAAAAGTAAAGTATTTATTTCTTGTCCCTTGGGGAAGAAAAATAGCGAAGTTTGGTTCCCAGGAGTAAGGGGACAGAGGTGGGTAGAGAGAGGGAGGAGAAGAGAGGAAAAGACGGCCCAGCCTCAAGCTCTCCAGTCAACTTGGGGCGGGGGGATACATTTTTCCGTAGCTTGTAAAAAGACTTTTCAGCCAGTTTGAGGTTAGCTGCCAGGGGCAGACAGTTGTAATAATGCCGACAGAATTGAGGCTTGTAAGCTGGGCTTCACACTTCTAAAATGCAGTTATGGATTCTTTCATCGGTGTTAGATCAAGGCACCAAGTTAAGAAAACAAAAATCAAAACAACAATAAAAGAAGAAAATCAAAAGCGTATTTAATTACCGAGTCCCGCTGCCCCTGCGGAACTCGCCGCTCGCGTTAAGCTCCCTTTTCTTTCTGCGGAATTCTATTTGCATCTCCTCTGCCTGGGTGTCTCCCTCTCTCAGTGTGTGTGTCTCTCTGTCTGTTTTCACACTCTCCTCCCCATTCGAGCAAGGCCCACACCTGGCGCATCACTGCCGAGCCATTAGCTGCGGGTCTCCTTTCATCTTCGCTGTGGCAGACGTTTCTATTTATCCACTTGCGCTCGCCGAGTGGCGTCACCAGCGGTACTGTAATGACGATTGCAGCAGGAGGATGACAGCTTAGAAAGAAGAGGGCAATGGGGCTTCCTCCCAGAGGCGGTGCGGCACAGAGGAGCGCTCGCATCACAAGGTGACCCTAGCTCCCCACCGCCACCGCCGCGGTCGCGGTACGGACCTCGCTCCAGCCGCTCTGCGCGGTCCCAGTAATCCGGCCTCTCTTTCTCCCTCTTGCAACCAAGATCCGTCCGGCCGCTGGAGACCCAGGGAGCCGGGGTTAGGAATTCACTTGGGGCTTTCCCCTCCCCTACCGGAGAGCCCCGGGATGGAGAGCCGAAAGGACATGGTTGTGTTTCTGGATGGGGGTCAGCTTGGCACTCTGGTTGGCAAGAGGGTCTCCAATTTGTCCGAAGCCGTGGGCAGCCCGCTGCCGGAGCCGCCCGAGAAGATGGTGCCCCGTGGTTGCCTGAGCCCTCGGGCCGTCCCTCCGGCCACCCGGGAGCGCGGCGGGGGAGGCCCGGAGGAGGAGCCGGTAGATGGACTCGCAGGCAGCGCGGCGGGGCCGGGCGCCGAGCCCCGGGTAGCCGGGGCCGCCATGCTTGGCCCGGGACCCCCGGCCCCCTCCGTCGACAGCCTCTCCGGCCAGGGGCAACCCAGTAGCTCGGACACCGAGTCGGATTTCTATGAAGAAATCGAGGTGAGCTGCACCCCGGACTGCGCCACCGGGAACGCCGAGTACCAGCACAGCAAAGGTAGCCACCGCGCCCCTCCGCTCCTCGGGCCTCCCATTGCGCCCACCCTTCACTTCGGCGCAGGCCAGGAGGAAGACACTCCCTTCCCCTAGGGCAGGATGGCTGGGGGGACCCACCTGAGCAACTCTCCCTGCTATCTGCGTTCTGGCGGGGGTCTCCTACTGTGTTCTGGCATTGGCGGACTAAGGGTGACAGCAGTGCCTTGAGTGCGGGGTGGAGTGGGCGCGGATGCAAGTCCTGGACTTGGGGGAGTCAAAGCTTACCCCAAGCCCCCAGTGTTTCAACTGCTTGGGGAATGCTTCAACTGCTAGGGGAAGACACTTTCCCCAGGCGAGGGCAAGATCAAACGCCGGTCCGGGCAGTTTGTGGCTGGCGGGGTGTAAGAGGCATGGAGGCGCGGAAGCGAGGAGTCCATAAAGGACCGTAAAATTGCGGCCCACTTGGGGCAGCCCGGGTGCTGCAGCCCTCCGACCAGTTTGCACGTCGGTCAGAGGTCCAAATTACCTTGTCACTTCCCGGGCTTGGCGGCGCCAGGTCGGAAATGGTCCCAATGGTCTAATTGCCTTTGGTCTCCGGTTGCATTTGAAAAGGCAGAGATCGGGTCCTCCCCCCTTCCCCTTTCCTTCCTAGTCCCACTTCTCCACCCAAAGGAAAAGGAACTGCAGGGGGCTGGAGCCCCACCCTTCTCAGAGGTAGGCCCAAACGGGGGCTGGTTTAACTGGAGAACGCCTCCCCACCAAAGGCTAATGGGAAGGGGGTGGATAGCTCCGAAGGGAGTTTCCCTCTGTGCCAACAATCCACCTCCCCAGAAGGGGGTGGAAAACTGGGGGTAGGGGCGGAGAGGGGAGCCCACCAGCAGACACTCCTCCATAGAACTGCAGGAGTGGGTGGAAAGAGCCTGGGAGGGAAGAAAGACCACCCCCTGGCCTTGGCAGCCAACACCTTGTTGAATACCAGCGCCTACCCTTACTGTCTTATCACCAGTTTCACCCAGCCTCCTTCCCACAACCTGCCCTCAAAACAACCTGCACTTCACTCACATATACTAAGGTAATAAATAAGGTACTCAACATGCCTTCTCACTCCAGCCCTGCAATACATGGAACCTAGTACACATTCCCACACCTGTTCTGGCAGCCTGGCACACATAAGAGCAAGGAAACTCTCTGATTGCTCAGCATACTACAATGCACTTGACCCAGAGTTTACAACGCTCTAGCACAAAGGTGCATCTCAACTCATGTGCCTGTCAGAAGTGCACACCCTTGCCCACCCCTGCCAACGGGAGGCAGAAAGTTCACCTATGCCCCAGGGCAGGTGGAAAGGGCGACTGGGAACCCCTGTATCCAGAATGCCTTAGAGGAAGGGAAGGCCTCCCCAAAGACGTCTACCTATCCAATCAAGGGCAGGCCCTTATCTTCCCTTCTTGGGTTCCCCAGAGGCCGCAGTACCCTAGCAGAAACAGTTATTGGAGTGGCTGACAGGGTGTCCCTTCCCAAATCACCCTCCCACCTTAGGCCTACAGCCCCACTTCAATGGTGTTTGTGTGTCTGTGTCTGTACACGCCTGTGCTTTGGACTCGCTGTGCAGGGTCCGGCTCCGAGGCGCTGGTCGGCAGTCCGAACGGAGGGAGCGAGACCTCCAAGAGCAACGGCGGCGGTGGCGGGGGCGGCTCGCAAGGCACCCTGGCGTGCAGCGCCAGTGACCAGATGCGTCGTTACCGCACCGCCTTCACCCGAGAGCAGATTGCGCGGCTGGAGAAGGAATTCTACCGGGAGAACTACGTATCCAGGCCGCGGAGATGCGAGCTGGCGGCCGCCCTAAACCTGCCGGAAACCACCATCAAGGTATGCGGGGTCCAGGCTGGGGAGGCGCATGTGCACCTACTTAGCAGAAAGTAAATACCAACTGCCCACTCCCTAAACCGCAGGCCAGGAATCTGGGCCTGGGGTCTCCCTGCCCAGCGCGTGCAGATTGACCCTCGTGACGGCTCCTAGGCAGGCATTGCTGCGGTGTGGTTGACTCTGTCTCTTTCCTGGTTAAATAGACAGGGGGTGGGAGTGGGGGGAGGGGATAGAATGCCTGTGCGGGTGACAAGGTAGTTTCTGGGGACACGCTGTCTGCGGCCGCAGACCAATTGAGTCCACGTCCTCTCACTGCTCCTCCCGTACACACACCGGCCTCTGGCACCCCGGGGCCTGGCCACCTGGGCAGAGGGAAGGAGGGAGCGGGCTGGAGTCACTCCCCAAACCTCTCTGGAGGGATTCCAGCTCCAGGTGGTGGTGGTGGGGTCCGTCTCTACCCAGCTGGTGTCTGCTTTGACTCTTCCTGCCCTATGAACACTGTCCCCGGAGCGGGACCAGACTTCTGGCCTCTGACTATCAGGCCGAGTCCACCTGCCGAACCTGCTCCGCTCCTCTCCCCAGGTATGGTTCCAGAACCGGCGCATGAAGGACAAGCGGCAGCGCCTGGCCATGACGTGGCCGCACCCGGCGGACCCCGCCTTCTACACTTACATGATGAGCCATGCGGCGGCCGCGGGCGGCCTGCCCTACCCCTTCCCGTCGCACCTGCCCCTGCCCTACTACTCGCCTGTGGGCCTGGGCGCCGCATCTGCTGCCTCCGCCGCCGCCGCCTCGCCCTTCAGTGGCCCGCTGCGCCCGCTCGACACGTTCCGCGTGCTGTCGCAGCCCTACCCCCGGCCCGAACTGCTGTGCGCCTTCCGTCACCCGCCGCTCTATCCCGGGCCCGCGCACGGACTGGGCGCCTCGGCCGGCGGCCCTTGCTCCTGCCTCGCCTGTCACAGCGGCCCGGCCAACGGGCTGGCACCCCGGGCTGCCGCCGCCTCGGACTTCACCTGTGCCTCCACCTCCCGCTCGGACTCCTTCCTCACCTTCGCGCCCTCGGTACTCAGCAAGGCCTCCTCCGTCGCGCTGGACCAGAGGGAGGAGGTCCCCCTCACTAGATAAGGGGCCGCCGGCCGGCTGCCGGCTCCAGGACGCCCGTGGGGTCACCCCCCACCCCCGGGACTCAGCCTCTCGCTCCTCGCCCCTAGGACGCCAAGCGGGAAAGGAGAGGGCGGAAAAGGACCAGCGGGATCCGGCCGCGAGAATTGGAAAGCCTAGGAAGTGGCCGTGGCTGGCGCGTTTGGGGAGCAGGAGTGGGGATAGGGAAGCAGAGGTTGAGAGACCTTCCTCCGGGGCGGCCTCCGGACCCACTGCCCCCTACCAGGGTCGAGGCTGTAGCTCCAAAGCTAAACAAAACTTAGCAGCAACAGCAATCAATATCCGGCCCCTCGGCCCATCACCCTCCATCTCACACTCCCTTCTCACCGGGCCCCCTCTCCCCAGCCAAGGCCCAAGCACTGGAAAGGGAAATTGCTGTCTGTCTGAACAAAATGCTGTGTATGCAGAGCAGGTAGAGATTAATCTTTGCCAACCTTTCCAAGGCATGACAAGGGGCTGGTGGATGGCAACATACCAGTCATTTGGAGGAGAGAGTGAGAGATTATTTACTACCGGGAAGAATCCGGCCCCTTGGCATGGAACCTGGAGCCTCGACTACACAGCATCTTCTGGATCTGGCATCTGCCAGCACCAGATCTCCTTCCTCATTCCCAGCTTTGTGACACCTCTCAACTTGCAGCTCCATCTCTCCCTGCCCCCACTTTTTTGTTGGCCAGGGAGGCTGCAGATGCCCCAGGAGCCCTTTGCCGCTTCTATGAGCCCAAGCCTTTTTTTCCCTGGGCCCAGTACACACCCTGATTAGCAAGTGATGTGTGCGAGGAGGGTTTGTGAATGTTGAATGTGTAATAATGATCAACACGGAGCTGGCCACTGAGCCCAAAGCTGGAGCTGTTAACAAGGCGCCCAGGGAAGAGCTTAGGGAGTGAGAACTTCACCTCCCTCTCTCAGTATCTGGCGGTAAATTAGAGGCAATTTTCATCCTTTGCTTGTTCACCTTCACTTCACCAGGAGCTTTCTGGCCCTACCCTTTGCATTGGGCATTTTACAACTTTTTCTCATTTTCTTCCCAAGCTACCACTGGAGCTTGACTTTCAGATACCAGTGGGAGCCTTCTGCCGATTCTGGGGACCCTGTCTGTACCCTCCACCAGGGTTTGTTTAGAGCCACTCCCAAATCCTCTCTCCCACACTCATCCTTTCAGCCAGTTTTTGAGGAAGAAGAGAACGTGTACACCCAATGCAAGCTTCACCCTGACTGAGAGGGAGTAGTTCTTCCTGTAGGGAATGAATTTGGTTTGGTTTGGGGTTTTCCTTTGAAGCCCAAAGAACTTGCTGTTATGATTCGTTAACCATATTGCAATAAAAGCTGGACATAATTCTCACTTTAGCATTTTAGTTTTTGTGGCAGCAGGCAGCTCTTAATTGACTTTTAAAATTGCTAGTTCAGCCACCATGGGTTTGAGTAGGAAAGGAACCAAAAGATGGACCCACAGAGTCTTCCAAGCCTCTGTCATTGGTAGGCTCCAAACAGCCATTGCATGGAGGTGGAGAAGGCAGGCTCCAAGCTGCCCTGGGGTGCATGTTTCCTTAATTTTGGGTATGTTGGGAGCCTTTCCTGGGTAAAGTGGCAGCTGAATGCTGCCAGGGGCCCACCCCTGTGGTTTCTTCTCCAGTTGTTCCAATTCTTTGAGCGACTGAAAGGGGACCCAGGTTGTGGTCTCTGAGCAACCTGCCTCCACCCCAGCCCAAAGGGAGGTGAGTGGGGCAGTGACAGTGGAGCCTGACTACTGCAGAGAGCTGAGTTTTCTGGTCAAGCTGGGTCCACACTTGAGGGTGGAGGACAGCAGGGAGGAAGGCTTCTTGGTTGGGATCATCTTGGTCTGAATTGTCCTCACACTGGAAGTCATCTTGAGGGTGGGATTCTGAGGGATTAGGACAAGAGGAAAGGCAGTGCTCAGAAGCTACCTTCCAGCCCCCACCTGCACGCCCCACAGGAGAGCCAAATGTGGCTGGGTATGAAGTTCCACTCAAACAGGGGAGAGATGGGACCCTTCTGGGAGTCCAGGAGGCTCTGGATTGCACAGACACGAGGGGTCCTCTGCCACTGTATCTGCCAGCAGATAGAGGCTCCTCAAATGCCCTCCCTCCTTGGGTTCCACAGCAAATCCTCCTGCACACAGTAGCTGGTGCCCTCCCAAGCAAATTGTGCCCTGAGGTTTCCAGCACCCCCTCCCCTGCAGCCAAAAGCTCCTGAGTGCCAAATCCCGGTAAATTTTGTGGTTGCTCCACGTTGGGCAGAGATTGCTTGCGACAGGTAAATGGGCTGCGGGTTGCCTTAATGCCAGGCGTATTTTCAGTTAATAGGGAGGGAAAATGAGGTGTCTGCAGCGATATTGGAAAGTACAAGATCGATGATCCGGCTTCGTGTCCAATCAGCAGCCTTTAATTGACTGTATTTTCTGGGTAATTGAGCCTCTCTTCCTCCAAATTGAAGTGGAAGATATAACAATACATCTTGCCAGGAGGAATTACTCATTACTTCATAATGAAATTTCCCTTTTGCCAACGTTTGCGGTTTGGCACTAGGCAAACCTTCTCACTCCCCCTCCTCCCTCAAACATTCTTAGCCCACTTGCATCAGGCAACCCCATCTGGCATGACACGTTCCATTTGAGTGGTGGCAGGGAGGAAGTGGGAGTTGACTTGAAGAAGGTACTGCCCCTTCACAATCACAACCTCCTTATCTGTAAAACAGAGGGCTAGACCAAGACCTACCATGATGCTGTTTTCATTTTTCAACTTTCTCAATGTCTCTACTTGGCTTTGCTTCATCTCGGTTCCATTTTGCAGGTGGGAAAATAGAAGCTCCAGGTCTACACAGCTATTAGTGGCCAATGTAGCTATGAGGTCCTGGCTCCCACTTCCTCTTCTCTCACCCTGTTTTGGGGCACAGATTCTGAGGTAACCCCCAGTGAAACCTGACACCTCACTCCCGACTCACGCTTTCCCAGGGCTCTTCAATTCCGGCTGGCTGGCAGGGCCTGGGAGCGTGGTCCAGCGCCCAGCCCAGATTCGTCCAGCTGGGCAAGGCTGGCCACCCCGCAGCCCGAGTGCACACCGGCCCCTGGCAATTGCTGGCTTGTTAGTGTGTGATTGATTGCCTTATTAAAGCGTGTTCTTGTAAGTGTGACCAAACTGATTGCATTGCATATGTTTGGGATAATGCTCATTTTAAACAACAGGATAAAGAGGATGAGCTCCGCAGAGCCTTGAAGACAAAATGATTCTGGCCAGCAGCTCCCTAACTCTGGCATTAAATTGCTCGGTTACATAGCAAATCACTACTTGATTTCTGCATCCTTGTCCCTATTTTTTTTTTTTTTTTTTTTGTCCTTCAGTTTGATCCTGTCATCCAAAGTGGCATGCCCCCTGAATGGTTTCTTTAGTGATTATGTCCACTCCACCTTCCTAGTTTCAAACCCTGCACCCGCACTCTCCAGACATGCAGTCCCTCTCCCTCGACTAGGGATTGAGGGAGAAGAGATTCAGAATGCATCTATTTGCCCTAGGCCTTCCGGGGGGACATGGTATTAGACAGTCACCTCCAAATGGGGCTCAGGTCCTCACAGTAAGTCGAGTGTCCCCCTACATCCCCAACCCCAGCCCTTTCACTAAAGTTTAAAAGATTCTTTTGTTCCTCAGGCTTCTCCCGCTTGGTTGCTTCCATTATTCCCCAACTGAGGAAACACCAGCCGCCATATGTCCACCGGAGAATGAACGTGAGTGTTGTGGTGGACCGTCGCCGCCAAAGGTGTCCAGACGGATGGCATTCTCAAAGTAGGGATCTTAGCATCCTCTCCATACACCATCACCCCAGATAGGTAGAGGAAAGAGTAGGAGTACGGGTATAGATAGGAGAGAAAGGAGGTTGAGGCCACAAAATTGGCATTTCTCTAATTACCAACCCCCTCCTCCACCATCCTGCCACCATTTGTTATGGCAAAGTTCTCTTTCTGTGCCCCTTCCCTAACAAAGAAATCCTCAGTCAGCCTCCACCTACTCCTTTTGATTTGCAGGAAGCCAAACTGCTCGCAGATTGAGCTTCCTAAGGGACACCTTTGGGATATGTTGGAATTCTGATTTGTTCAAGATGATGACGGTCATCAGTACAAATCAGAAACAATGCCACTCTTCGGGGTGTCATTTGTAAGTGCAATCACATGCATTCGTTTGCAAAACCCAGCTAAACTGCGTCTGGATAAGTGACTAGATCCAAACGACAAATTTCTTCCATCACTCAGCTCCTCCCAAGCTCTGCGGGGGCAGCACAGAAGACTGCTTTAGGGTGAAACTAAGGCTCAGCTCACCATTTGTGCCAGTTTGAGGGACCCTGGAAATGTTGACTCTGAGAAAGAGACAAAACAAAACAAAACAAAACAAAACCCAATCACAGAACACATCCTACTGTCTACAAAGCAAACAGAAACACAAAGTTGTTTCCAAAATCACCTTCTCAGCAAATAAGTGTGTGATATTCCGAGCAGGAGCAGGAGAGGGAGAAAGATTGCCACTTAAAAAAACATGAAAGCATTAAGTAATTATTTAAAACAAGGCTGTTTAGAAAAATATTTGTATTTATTGCAGCTGCTCAATTGGCCTCGTTAAAGTCGGCAAGCATTTAAATTGTGTTACAATCTCATTTAAATCCCGCTCCGTTCCAGCAGGCTGAAGAGCTTGAGTAGACCAATCACTTCATAATGATGATGAATGAGAAATTAATTCAGATACAAGCAAGACAATTTAGGCCTTCATCTGTTTAAATAGCCTTCCAATATTATTCGCCATCGCGGGTCACAGATTGAATCAATTGTCCAATCTTGTGAAAGTCATATTCTTGCATCTTCATAGAGATTATTTATAGCGCAGTGAGCGCTGCTGAAAGGTATACGCTGTTAACAGGGACAATTACTTAAAGGGAAGCGTTTATAAAATGGAAAACAAATGCCGGGGTTGGTAACAAATGGGATCAAAAGCAGCCATTCCAATCTGTCTTCCCGAGGGAAAGGAGGGGGCGCGGCCCTGTAGGATTAGGGGCACTTCTGGCCTCCCCAAGGCCCAGGTGCGGCGCGCCAGCCTGCGCGGTGGCTGTGGCTGCGGTGGCGACTCGGGCCGGGCCTCGCTCTCGCCGGCTTCAGGTTCCCGCCTCCTCGGCGCAGGCAGCGGCCGCGTGTGGCCCGGGCTGGGCAAGCTGAGGAATAGCGACCCCCGGACGCTGACCGCATGGACGTCCCAGTTTGTGCCCGGGTCTCCGTCCCTCCGCGTAAGGGGCTTGGACCCCCGGGCCTGGGTCTGACCCACAGGGCGCTGAGGCCTTTGTAGCTGAAGTCGGGAGGCCTCGTTGCGCGCGCAGCACAGGTTGCTGGTAAATTCTGGACTCTGGAGCCTCGGCCTTCCTTCTAAGCCGATGGCAGGGAAAGAACCCCGTTTCCACAGCTCCTCCGACCCCCGCCGCTTGCCATTTGGGGACGGGAAGCGCGCCCCGGTCGCTTCAGGTCCCTCTGGGCCGGAGCCCCTTCCATGGCCGGCTCGTCTGGGGGCCTTTGGGCCTGTGAGCAGCAGCGTCTAGTTCCCCCAGAGAAGAACCCTTTCCTTCCTCCATCGAAGCGTCCCTTTCTGTATCCTGAAATAACCCCTCCTGGGTGAGGCCAGTTCCCCTCCGTCGCCCTCCTCCCGCAGGCGTCCGGGAACCTCGTGAGGACCCCGTGCAGTTGAGTCCAGGCGACAGGTGCCTCCCCAGGTGTCTACTTGCCCTCCCTCAACCTATTAAGGGAAAGACCAGAACGAAGTGCGCGGAAGGTGCGTTTGTTTCTCCCGAAACCCGCGCTCTTGGGTAAAACCGTGTGCCGCGTCTACGCGGGCCCTGTTAGTGTGCGTGTCCCAGAAGAGCGGGCCTTCTAGGCGGCGCTTTTTGGAGAAGTAAGTGAGGTGAACTCAGAACAGAGAAGCGGGAACGATCGTTTGATGTGCCGAGCCGGAAAAAGAGAGGAGAGGGAGAGGCTCCCGGCGAGCGCGGAGACAGAGAAGCCCACGCGGCACAGCACGCGCCCTACTCCTGCCCGCGTAGAGGTGTGTGCGTGTTTTTTCCTCTGTATTTCTGTGTTTGAAACAAAAGCCCAACTAACGGATTCCTGGCGCTCTGAGAGGACTCACTCCCGGGAGCGACTTTGATGTATTGCTGTCCAATTAGTGTCTTTAATTGGTGTCCTCGGGGACAGGCAGGCCCGGAGCTGGGACAGAGCCTCCCCTCGCCTCTCCTGCACACTGGAAAGGTAAAATTTATAACGCACTGTAGCCACCCCTTGGGAGAGCGAGCGAG